TTTTTTTTTTTTTTTTTTTTTTCTAAGATGATTCGAAATCACTTTTTTATAAAGACAGTAAAACTCTATATAAACAAGGCCATCCACTTGGGAACATGTGTTATAATTTTTTCGAAGACTGAAGCTATAGATCAGATGCTGCTGAGTGCAGTCTTGAAAGCTTTGCATTCAGGTTGCTTCCAGGTGTGAGCTCTTCGATTTATTAAGTGGATTGAGGATTTAGTGAGTATTTGGAATTTTTGTGCAAGGAAGAAGTTTTGATGCAGCACATGAAAACATGGGTTAACGCCTTGGGCTTTGGAAGGCTTTCTTTGAAAGAATTGTTAGATGCTAGCTTTAATTTGAATTTTGTTAGCTTTGTGGAAACCGTACAATTTTAGTAAAAGTTGTGGAAGATTGTATTTGTGTATTTAGTGAATCGAAGAGATGAGAGCGGTAAGGTGCTACAAGCGTCAGAAGAACTACTGTTTGATTGCAAAAATATGGTAGTGATGGAGTTTTAGGTTGAGGAAGTTATTTGCTTATACGTCATCGCATTTTTTGCGTAAAATCTTGATTTAACAACATTAATAAACAGAATCAGTTGAAACATGACGGGTTCACTGCAAAAAAAGACCTTTAGAAAGATCATGAATATTTCTAATTGGATCATTCACTAGTTTTAGCAAAAAAAATTTTTACTATTTGTAGGTAAATATAAAGTAACTGATTGATCGATAAAAGCAGTAGCTTTATTCGTAGTTTTGGGTTGCCTGTTTTTATCCTTTGGTTTTTGATTTCATAGTTTTGTTTTTTTCTGTGCTTGATAGTAATTACACCATAGGTAATTTTTTATTAAATTGTTATTTTTTGCATTTAGATACTTGGAATTGTGGGAATTTTAAACGTTTTCAAAACTGAAATTCATTTAATTTCAGCTTGTTGTATTTTCGCTAGTGTTTATATCATTTGAAGGTTCTGTTTCAGCTGTCAAGACTTGTTCACTTCAAAGGCTTCGAAGATGAGTACTATAGAGTTTCCGTTTAATCGTGATGGCTATCGATATTATTTAGTTACTAAGGATGAAAGTGCTCCTTTCAAGTTAGAGCTGTATTTCTTTTTTCTAATTCAAGGGTTCTCGTCTGTAGAAACATGGGCATGAAACTGGGTGGTCTAAATCTTGTTTTGTGAGCTATTTATCCTGAATTTTTGGAAGAAATTTTTTTCATAGGGAGGTTGCTGATGAACAGTCCTACACGGGAAAGCCTATTCCTGCGCATACGTATAGGATAGTGACACATCCTTACGTTACACTTTCGCCGAATGACAGGGCTCATGAAGTAACGCTTTAATTGTTTTTGAAACCAGGCTTCTCCAATAGTCTTTCCTTTTGTTCTTTTTTGTAATTATTTGAGAAGCTGTTATTCAAATTCGTTTGATCCTTTCCTTTTAGAAAACTTGAGATTTTACAGCTAAAACTGTCTGATGACAGGTTGACTGTGACCGGATTTGAGGGCTACCGTGTGGCTCGAGCCACGCATTCTGTCTCACATGGAAGTTGGCATTACGAAGTAACTTTTGTGTCTCAACCTGAGGACTCTCATATTAGGATAGGATGGAGCCAGGCTTTATGTATTTTTTAAATGTTTTAGGCCTCCCAACTTTTCACATTCCTTTTTTTTTCTGAAGCTTCATATTGCTTATTCCTCCAATTCTCTAACATATTAAAAAGAGTTTCAGCACCAGTCCAGGCTTGTGCTGGATATACGCAATTCTCGTATGCATGGAGAAGTTTACATGGTACACGTTTTCATGAAGGGAAGGTATCAGTGTGGAACTTTATTTTTGTGCCTTCTGTTTCATCCGGCTTTCTTGAAGGAAATAATTTAGCATAGTTTGGGGGACTCAACCAGTATCTTGGGCTTGCTGGGGCTTTAAATTGTGGTTGTTGGAGCTTCCAGTAACTGTACTGATACAACATGATTTTTCACTTAAATATAGCAGTTTTGGTGAATTTAATCTCTCCATTTCATTACTCTTTGTTTTAATTCTTCATGTGGCTTGATCTTTTCCTTCATTTTTGAATAAGTTTTTGTTGTAGGTTCCCATCACCAACCTTTACATAAGCAACTTCAATTGCAGGGGAAGCGGTATCATGTCACTGGATTTAAAGAGGGTGATGTACTTGGTTGCTTGATATCATTCCCTTTGACTCCAGCCGATAAGAATTTCAATTTTTCTGATTGTTCGGCTCTCCCTTCGTCTTCGTCTTATTTGCCTTGTTCTCACAAAGACCTCCCGTTAATCCATTACAAACACAATTACTTTTACGAAGAAAAAGATGATGCTAGAGAAGCTGCCAAGAACTTAATGCCTTTACCAGGCAGTTATGTGAGTCTTACCATGATGATTTCTTCAAAGCTCAAACTAGATTTGTTTCGATTTGTATGGTTCTCCTGAAAAATGTTCTAGGAAGTTAGCTGTGGGGTTCAACTCAGTCTTTTTAATCATTTAACATTTACTTTTGTTTTGACGGTAGTGCTTATCATATAATTTTTAGATTGAGTTCTTCAAAAATGGTGTAAGTTGCGGTGTCGCATTTCGTGATGTCTATGCCGGGTTTTATTTTCCTGCTATTTCTTTATATCATAATGCAACTGTTCGATGTAATTTTGGCCCTCGCTTGAAGTACCCTGTGCCCGGTGCAAAGCCTATGAGCGACTGTGTTCTGGAACAGGAAATTGAAAGGGTTGTTTCTGACTTGTTGTACCACGTTGACAATGAAGAAAAAATCATTGAGGAAGTAAATAGTTACAGGGCTTTGTCGTGATGCTGCTGCTTTCACCTGACTAGCCTTTTGTAAATTTTACAGTTCTCACTCATTGTTGATTCACTGCATTTGTGGTTGGTTTTAGCTGTAGTTTTCAAAAATCTGCAAGTTTGTTTTTGTTGTAACATATCCCGAGACTGCTGTTGTGAGGGGACTGGCAGGTAATAAATATATCTTCTTGCGTTACGTTGGTAAAGCGCTGTTCTTCTTACTGTTCCGATCTTTTATTTTGCTAAACTATGCAGTTTCTCGGCTGGTCAAGCAGCAAGACCTACTTCTGCAACGTGCTGTTCATTCAGCAAAAACTGGCGTTCCTTATCAGCCTGCTGAGTTCCAATTTTCAGTAACCATTAGAGTTTTTATGCGCCGACAACATTTACGATAAGAAAAGAGTATGACTTTGGAGCAAATGTTAACAGTGTAAATCTGCTGTTAGAATTTGCTGTTTTGCAGAGGCTAATTTGTTTTCTTTGCGTGTCGTACCGGTATTCATACGAGTTAGGGCAGTGGAATGATGAGTTTACTTTTTCGCCGTGCTACTTAGTTGAATGGAACACCGTTCAGTTGTAGGTTCAAAAAACTATGGAAAACTTAGTTTGATTGGCGGCTTCTTTGGCTCTGTTACTGCTAACGCCTGCAACCAAAAAACAAATCCCAGCAATAAGTTCAAAGATTGCTATCTTCACTCACAGATTGGATGAGACTAGTACTCAGCCTTTAAGAACTCTTGGTCCAGTCATAAACGAAAATTGTTTACTAGTCCAGTTAAAGGTGGCCAAATTTAACATTTCCGGACCGGATAAAACGCAGTGCGAGGCACTCGCCATCTCGTCCGACCCCAGCTTTCCCGGGCCGCTTAATGATTAACTGTTTGGGAATAGTAACAACATCCAGTTAATGCTAAAGGAATTGTTCGCGAGACAAATGATGTGAGAAGGAACGTTTTTACAGGGATGACTGGGGAAGAAACAAAAATTTATCCAGAAGGACTTTCTACGAACTTGTTTCCTGTAGCATTGAGGGAAGTTTTTTACTATTGTTAGCAGCCAAAAAACAAGTGTGATCTGTTTTTTACAAAAACTGCAGGAGCGTTCACTTCCTTAATTCTCATATTTAGAGGATAAGTGACTAAGTCTCCAGCACTCATTATTATTATCGTATTACTTAGTGCTTCCGTACCATCTATGTAAATCGTTTTTTTTTTATTTTGAGTAAAAAGACTGCCATCTCTCTCTACTCTAGTACCATAAATGGAAAAATTTAATTTGTGAAGGCGACTTCTCTGGAACTTTGAAAATCTGAACACGTCGCCACTGGTTTATCGAGTGCTGAAGAATATTCGAAAAAACAAACACAAAAGAGCGGCAGAACTGACGTAGGAGAGACAGAAATTGCATCACTTGGCGGGGTCACTGCCAAACCTTTCCGTTTGCAGTGCCGACCACTTTTAACAACACACCTACGAGGATAGAAAGGTAGAGTAGACTACAGAGTAGCAAATCCAAATTCTCAATATATGCCCTAGAAGGGTCTCATGAAAACTCAGTATTAGAATACACTCTTATTCTCGTTTTTGCAACCGACCCAAGCCTATTTAACCAGCCCTACCCTTCTCACAGGAAGTTCTTTAAGTAACAGGACCAGATTGCCGTATTACATTTAAACATATTGTAATTTCGTACAGTTTCAACGCTATGCAGTCGAGAAGCTGGCTGGCTGCGAGTCACTGTTTAGTCACTGCAAAAGACTGTTTAGTCAAAAATTCAAGTAAAAAAAAAACACTACTAGAAGATTGTGAACAGTTCAATGAATACATAATGGAAGCAAGGAATTCCAACCCGATTTTACAACGGAGAAGACAAATATTAGAGTATAGTCACTAATACACCGGCAACTGAAAGTAATTCACAGCGAAATCATAATACAAAGGTGAAATCAACAGATACATAAGGGCCATAACCGGAAAACTAGTTTTATTAAACATTTACAAGGGGAGAGTAAAATAAACCTTTCAACACACAATTTACAAGTAGTGGCCAACGGGCAAGTTAGCGTTACCGTCGACAAATTAAAGCCAAAATACTACATTTAGGAAACAAAAATTCTGACTTCTTTACTTCCCCATTAATTTCTTCCTCTCTTCAACTTTTTTCGCAAATGTTTTCGCAACAATAAGTGGGAAAACAAGAGATGCTTCGGCGTACACTTTCACGGCCTTTGTCGACGGCTTTATTTTTCCCCAGCTTACTGCTTCATCAGGCCTCGCTCCTGAATCACTCCCATCAAACTCCTAAAAAGTAGGTGGGGTTTTAAGAAGTAATAAAGAGTCATAATTTTAGCATGGGAAGAAAGGCACATTTTTATGGCTTGGTAAAATCTTACTGATACTCTACAAAAAAATACTCAAATGTTCAGATGGTAAATAAAATTTACCCCGCCATAGAGCATTCTTCTGTCAATTTTCAGGAATCAAAGGAACCCTGTTCCCCATGTTATTACACTAAGAAATGTAATCTGCGATTACCTAGATACAAATCTTTTATTTATATACCTTTCAAAACACATGCTCGATTGTTTTCCCACTGATAAAAAAGTTGACAAAAAATGTGCTGATTACTTAAACTTCCAATAAAATTGTAAAAGATGCGACAAACCATAAGTAAATGGAAAACTAAAAGATTTGTCCTTGAAATGTCGTCAAAAATTGAATAATTTAGCAAGGATCCAGTGACTTCGCCACTTCTTAAATCAAGAACGCAGAGCCCACAAAAAAATCAGGAAGGAAAAGTGTGATTTACCGGAAAGGTAATATCCGGCTTTTTGATTCACTACCAGCACTTCCAAACTAAAGTTTTCGAGAAAGAGAAAAGGGTAAAATCCGGGATGTCATTATGAAATATATTGAAAGCGGATTCGGTAAGAAAATTCCAGCGCTGGTTTCGAGATCCATAATACCTGCTTAAAATTACTGCTTGGATCGAAATCAGTCCAATTATTAAAAAAAAATTATTTGGAAACCTGGCCGGTGTTGACGTAGACAGTGAAGTCTGACCCATTCCGCATCAAATTTGCGTTATTAATGTGATGCTTTACCACTCCACCGCCCAGTATGATTACTCCGGTGTGTTTCGATGCTACTGCCATACTATTTATATTCCTAACATCCTAAAAAATGTTAGTATTTGACAAAATAGCTGCAAAAAAATTGCTTTATAAAAAGCTATTAATCGGAAAGCCAAAGTGGAAAACACAAATTTACACCTCAACAATATCAAGCTTTACTCCACCTCCTCGATAGGAGTGGAAGTACAGCATATCACCCAATGACCCATCTGTCAGAGCCGGACAAAATATTGGAATCTTATTTTTATGAGCCCAGTAACAAATAGACGCTTCATCGTTTATTTCACCACCTAAACGATCTATTAACTTTGAAGGGGTCCACGAAACAGACTCCGTCTTCTGTTCCTCTTCACATCGATCAAATATAGGAATCACCCATTCTTCAAACAAGCAGTAATTGTCATTCGGAATGATTATATTACCGGCTCTGAAAGGTTATAAAACAAAACTTCTAGCTTTAGATTCATTCTGATAAGTCGCTTTTACAGTAATTATAAAGCGATGCTAAGTAATACGATTCAAGAGTCACAAAAGATAATTAAACTAAGAAAAACGCACGATAAAATAAGCAACAATCCTCAAATTCTTATATTCATCCAAACAAAAAATGACCTGATAATTTACGAAGTCCTAAATAAAGTGATAAACACGAAACTAGGAGAAGGAATGCAATAAAAAAGGTCAGTCCTATACTTTAAAATCGTAGCACACGTCTAGTACCTGTTAAGGCCAGATGAGCGAAGTTTAGCTCCATCTAATGCAAAGTCACCCAAATATGAAGGTGCAAGGCATTTAATCAGGTCTTCTTCAACACCTCCAGCACTTGTAACTAGGCAATCGACTAAGTCATGTTGGACAATATATCTTATGTGCTAAAAACAGCAGAAAGCAATAATTATTTTTCAATTGAAATTAACATAATCAACGAAGAATGCCCACTTATTAGACGTCTTTTATTTACTCTTAACAATGCTACAACAAGCGTACAATTGAATATAAAATTACACTTTTAACATCTCAAAGCCAAAGTATTTCTGCCAAAATAATTCCTAACAGTGAACAGAATCTGAAAAGTTGAACAAGTTTTTTTATGTACATTACTTCGCGTAGGCCACTAGTAACAAGGTTACTAGTATATCCAAAGAAAAGAGTGCAGTTCTTTTTTTTTTTACCAGTAGGATAACTAAACGTTTCGACCACCTCCGATGAATGCTCATCTCTCATTGAAAGCATAGCATTTATTTCCTGGAATATAAAACGATTTCAAGAAGAATATAAAAACTTACTTTTCCTGATGAAGCAATAAATAAAAAAATTAACCAAAATAACACCTTTATCGCCATTGCGAGATTAGACGCCTGAAAACCTGTTGATAAGTAAGAATCAATCAGTTTTTCATAATCGATGCCATCATTGAAGTCGTAGCCTTTAATCTGAACTGAATCTTCAGGTAAGGTATCAGACTTTCGTAAAACTGCGTCTTGTGCCGTCCCGATACCATTATCGCCACCGGACATCTTTAAAGGACAATTGACATAAACCACCTCGTTAAAAATTTTGGCAATGAAAACTTCTGTACCAAGAAAGCGAACGCGTTGTTAAAAAGCTGTCCACCTTCCGTATAACTCCAGTCAACGAAGAAAAGTTCAAAAATACAAGTTATACAGCCTCTTGTTCTTCCACCTCTCCTTTCCTATTTATGTTACTGAAGCAACAACTACTAGCCAACATAATACAGAAAATTTGCAGCCTTTTACCAGCCGCTAATGCCATATCGTCGCCTTTAAAACCTCTGAATGAATTGCCACATGCAATGTTTACAAGCTACATTCCAAGTATTGAAGTCGGCAGCAAATGTAAACGGTTTTTTTAATATCCTTTTATTACCTGTGGTGATTTGCTTCAACTATGAACCTCTAAGAGGATTAAAATTTCATACATCGCTAATCCAGTAATTACCAACAAGGAATTATAACTGTATAAATTACGAGCAACATTACATTCAAAAAGAACACGTTTAGCCCTTTACAGAGATATGAGATCCCGTTTGAAATACTGCTTTATTATGAGATTTTGTAATTTTTGAGTTAAATTTGAATTCGTTGGCACAAGGAAGTCCAAATAATCAATGAAAAATTAAAATTTATTGCAAATATGGTGTTTCAAAGTACGCAGAAAAGCCATCGGAAAATGCCAGCGGTAGGATACTTCAACAACCCTTGCCTTGTGGAAAATTTTTTGACGTGAGGTGGTGGAAAAGCATATTCTTGCTACTCAACACAGTGTCTAATTTGGACTATGTTGCACAAATAGCAAGTGATAACAATCATTATGACTCAAATTTTAGAAGACTTATAGTGCTAGGACAATTGTTGGTAATAATTCTCCGTAAGTTCTCGTCGTGGAAAGAATCTATTACTGAGCCCTTAATAAGCCGAAGAAAGTACATCCTTTTTAGTTTAAGCCTGCTATGTACAACAAACAAGCATTCTTGGGCACCATTAATTTTTAATATACTTCTGTTCCGCATACTGTACCTGCTAAAATATTAATAGGGAATCATGTCTATGTTACAAAGAATATCAGAAAAAAAAGTATACAGCACTCTCAAAGAAAAACTTTTGTGCTTTTGACTATCACTCACGAGATTAGGGCTGCCACATCCTAAAAGCAGAAACCTACATTAAGCTATCAGTTTCGTTGTAACAAAAATTACTTGCTGGAAAATTAGGTGTCGACACTGCAGAAGCTTTGTGGACCTTAACTAACGTCACTTTCAACGTAACCTATAAATCCCAGAAAAAGACTGTTGAAGATCACCATCAGAAGTCCTCCGCTTTAAACTGTTTTTTCAATGTTCACTCAACGATTAGAGCCTGAACTCCTTTCTGTAAGAAAGAAATTTCTCCATTTCTCCACAAAAAGAGCTTAAGGCCTTACAAACCCCTTTTCGTTTCACCCCCTCCCTGAAAAAAAAGACGAAGCCTGATGTAGTATCGCACTGGTCAATACGATAGAAGTCTGCTACCTCGGTGATACGAATTAGCTGCATAGTGTTTGCAGTTCCTGATAGTTTGCTTCCTCTCGCAAATACTGCACTGCTACAGCGCTCTGCAACCGTGCGGCTTTCCGAAGTGATCCGCTATCAAAGCTGTGGGGCTTGCTGCGTTTTCTTAGCGAAACCCACCTATCATTTCCGTGGGAAACTCAAAAATGAATGACACACTGCATAAGTAATAAGGCGTCTTGAATTATATGAAAGGCTAAGAATGAGACTAGGTAAGAATTAGTAAATCTAGTTGAATGCTTAAAGGGTTAGAGCGTAAACCATCTGACAGTGGTACACTTCAAATACGTTGCGTGAAAAACTTTACGTATCGACCGCACTCCTAAATTTCTTACAAGTCCATATATGTGCTAAATTAGTGCGAAGAGGCGCACGTCCAGCAATTTGCTCATAGTAGAAGATATAATAACGAGAAGATGAAAATAAGTTCCCGAGAAAAGTGAATCTCGTGGCGTCAAGATGAAAAGCGAGTTAGGTATTCATTATATCAGCGTCGTTATAAAAGTAGCTATTAAGCATTATTAGAATCAAAATAAAACTTTATAATTACGTTCTTGAAAAGTCAGGAAGACTTAAATGAACAAGAATAAAGACGCTGGTTGGTACAAATTAGGTAGACAGAGGGCAGCTTAAATAAGTAATGGAAGTAGATTATGGACAAAAGAAGTTGAGTTAAGCTATGGACACAGTTAAGCCACAGTCGTTTTCT